CCCCCGCCCGGCCGGCGCCCCGCCCGGCGCCTCCCTCCGCCCTGTCTCTGCCGCGGTCCCTCCCTCTGCCTGCCGCCCTGTCTCCTCGTTTCCCTCCGCAGTCCCGGCCTCCTCTCCGGCCTGTCCCCGGCCTCCGGGCCGCGCGCCTCTCGGCCGCCGCAGCCGGCCCCTCCCTGCCCCTGCCCCCATCCGTCCCGGCTCCGGCGCTGCCCCTGGCATCTCCACCTCCTCTCCACCCGGCCGGGTGGCTCTTCTGGCTCGGCGGCTGAGGGGACAAGTTTGGGGTGTTTATTATTCTCCTTCCTAGCAACGGCGGCCGAAGGCTGTTTGGGAGCGTCGGGGCTCCGGGCCTGGGCCTTCTCCGGAGGGTGCGGCCGGCCACCGCATTCGCGGCCGGGGCTTTGGCAGAGGCTGCGGCCTCCTCTGGGCGACCCATCGCAGCCGGGCTGGAGCCGGCCCCGCTGGGGTGTGGGCTGGGGCCCGGGGAGAGCCAGCGGGGTCCTGTCCCCCAGCTGCCAGCCACCCGGGCTGTCGGGGAGGCCCCTACAGGCTGCAGCCGCACCAAGTCCCTGCCCCTCCTGGCCCCGGGCTGGCCCTTCTGGCTGGACCTGGTGTCAGTGAGAGGGCCCCGGGCAAGGGACTCGCTCTTTGGAGCTGCTTGCCCCCCAGGGTACCCCGGGCCTGGGGACAGCCCGTGCTCCCTGCCGGGTCCTCACCTCTCCCCACTCTGACCTCTCTGGGCCCCACACTGTGGCAGGCCCATCACTGGCCCCGGACACTGAGGCCTCTCCCAGCGTGGGCCTGCGCTGGGCTGCCCTCGACTGTTTCCAAGCTCTTCACTGTCTCTGGACCCCCAGCTTCTCACTGTCTTGGGGCCCCCCAGGGTGCGCTGCCTCTGGGGGCTGCCCCAGCTCCAGCCCCTCCATCACTCCTGCCCCCCACTCCCCAGGCACCTTCCCACGGGATCTCCTGACCGCCTGTGGACACTGCTCCCAGTCCTGGCCGCCGCCCAGACCCCAGCCTGGCTCGGGACATGCCCGCCTGCTGTGCAAGGCCAGGTGCGCCCCGGGCGGGGGGGGGGTGTGTGCCGTGTGGGTACAGCCGGGCTCGCAGGTCAGCGTGCTGATCCAGGGCCTGGGCTCTGGAGGCCCCACTGTGCCCCTCAGGCCCCCTGGTGCTCTGCTGCCCATACCACTGCTGCTGCCCCCTGGACCTTGGCACCAAAGCACTTCCTCCTGGGCACTCCCGGGACTGCCTGAAGCCCTGAGTGTGGCGCCCGGCAAGCCGATGACTTGGGCCTTCTCAACTGCCCCTGCCACCCCGGAGTGGCCGGCGGAGGTGGCTGGGCCTCTGGCCAGCGCGTCTGCCCCTGGCATCACGGGCCCCATGTGCTGCTCTGGCGGGGGCACGGCCACTCGTGGGGCCACGCGCAGGCGTGCGTGGGGTCTGAACGCCACCCTGCTGCTGGGAGAGAGAAGTGGGATGCGGTGGCGAGGCTGAGGGCCAGCTGGTGGGGCTGAGGAAGGGTGGGTGACAGGCGGGCGGGGCCCGAGTGCCCGATGACCTCTCCCCGCAGGGCCAGTGCCAAAATGAGCGCGACCGCCTGGTTCCTGGTGAGTGGCAGCGGCACCCGCCACCGGCTCCCGCGAGAGCTCATCTTCGTGGGGCGCGATGAGTGTGAGCTTATGCTGCAGGTGAGTGTGCCAGGGCAGGGGTGCCCCTGAGGGCGTGTGCCTGGGGGTATGAGGTCTGGGGGTGTGGGGGCCTGGGGGCATGTGGCCTGGGCGAGTGAGGCCTGGGGGTGTGGGGGTCTGGGGGTGTGAGGCCTGGGGGTGTGGGGGTGCCTGGGCCTGTGCAGCCAGGAGGGGTCCACTGGGGGTGCCACCTGACAAGAGCTGGGATGCTGGCCTGTTGGTGCCGGGACCTGCCCTGTCCAGCCAGGCTGGCCTCTGCTGTTTGCCTGGCTCTGGAGGAGGGGCCAGTAGGCCCCGGGGGGGGGGTGCTCTGAGTCCCAGTCTCTGGGCCGGGGTGCCAGGCCTGGGGCACTCCCACTGCATGCCTGGCCCTGGCCGCCTGGGCGCTCGGCCCTGTCTCCTGGGGGCCCAGGGCTGGGGAGGAAGGGCAAGTGTGGGGTGCGTGGGAAGGCATGGGAACACTTTGGGGTGCTGAGGTCCTCGGGGCCACGGGGCTTCGGAGGCGCCCTGTGGGGCCGCTCACCCGTCCAGTGGCTTTGGTGTGGTCTGGGCAGAGCTGCTGCCTCAGTGCCCATTGGGTGTCCTGGCTCAAGTCCTGCATTCAGGGCTCTGTGCAGGGCCCCCAGGCGCCCCTGGCTGTGAGCTGTGCATCTGGGGGGGTCTCCGCATCCCCTGGCCTCAGCCGCCCAGAGGGTAAGAGCTGATTGCCCCGCTGCGCTCACCTGGAAGCCGCAGACCAGCCGTGGGTGCCGGGCCGACGGGGTGTCCCACTGGAGGGAGCACGGTGCTCCCCGGCCTCCCCCGCCAGGCATGTCCCCAGACCCTGGCTCCGTGCCCCTGGTCCCCGCCGTGTTGTCCCCTCAGGCCTAGCTGTTCCGTGCGGGCCCATCAGCTGGCCACGGGGTCAGTCCCGGAGAGGAGGTGTGTGGCCCTGCGGCCAGGCCTCGGGCGCGACGGGCAGCCTCTCCTGCCAGCCGCCATCCGTCCTGTCTGCCCAGAGCCGGGAGGGGCAGAGGGCACGGGCTGCCCCTGAGGCCTCTGTGTCCATCCAGTCCCGCAGTGTGGACAAGCAGCACGCCGTCATTAACTACGACCAGGGCAGGGACGAGCACTGGGTGAAAGACCTGGGCAGCTTGAATGGGGTGAGTGTCCGCTGCCCTCCTCCGCACGCCCTGCCAGGGCCCTCAGGGTCAGCCACTGCACCCCTGTGCCCACCCAGCCCCCTCTGGCCAGGCCCTGGGAGACCCTTCTCCCAGGGGAGGAGACCCTGGGAGCGGGACTCGTGGGGCCCCCTGCTCGCTCGGGTCTCCCCAGCTCGGCCCTGGGTGGGGCTTCTCTCCCCTGCTGGTGCCCAGGGACCCCATTCGGTGGGCGCCCCTCTGGCCATGCTCCAGACCCGCCCCTTTCCTGCTTGGGCAGCGAGGGCAACGCTGGGCGCACTGCCTGGCCTGGCCACGCGGGGGCGTGGGGGCGGGGCCGGCAGGGCGGGCGGCGCGACCTGGAAGGGCCTTGCAGGCCTCTGTCCTTGTCCCCCTCCGTCCTTGTCCTTTCCCACGAGCTGGACCCGGAAGGCCACCGCGCAGGCTTCTCAACCTTTTCCTCTGCAGACTTTCGTCAATGACGTGCGCATCCCTGACCAGAAGTACGTCACGCTGAAGCTCAATGATGTCATTCGTTTCGGCTACGATATCCTTCCGCCCCTCCCCTCCCGGCTGCCCGGGGTTCCCAAGCGGGGTCCCCCGGTGGGCGGGCGGCGGGTTAGCGTGCAGGCTGGGCTAGGCCACCGTGGCCGCCGTCCCGCGAAATCGCGCGGGGCCTAGGGGCCAGTGTCCGCGCTGGGAGCCCGAGCCCCCGGGAGTTCTGTGCTCAGAACCTGGCGCATGCCCCTGGGGAGGCCTCGCCCCGGGCGCCGACCAGGCCCCCTCGTCGCTGCTGGAGCTCTGGGGCTCCTCGGCCTTGGAACCCGGGGAGACGGCCAAGGGTCTGGGTGGCCGTGGCAGCTGCCACAGGTCAGCCTCAGGCCCGTCCGCCCGGTCGTGCCGCGCGCAGGCGCCCGTGGCCCAGCGGCCCCGTCCTGCCTGCCGAGCGCCCCTTCATCCCGGGCGGCACCGCGGTCCACCGCCCGCCCCGCTGCCTTCGCCTTAACCCGGGCCACATTCCAACATGTACGTGCTGGAGCGGGGGCAGCACCGCGTCCCCGAGGAGGCGCTCCGGGTGAGTGCCCTCCCTGCGCCCGCGGCCCGCCCACACCCGCCCTCCTTCCCGGAGGGGCCCCCACAGCGGGGAGTGGCAGGAGACGGGGCTCCTGGCAGCTCTGGCTGGAGGGTGCGTCTCGGGCACCAGAGGCCGGTGGCAGGCCCCTTTCCACCGTCAGGCAACCGGCGTGGCAGCAGCCTGGGGAGGCCTGGCGTGTAGCGGCAGGGGGCTCCTCTCCTTTGCTTGCTGGTGGAGGGGCGGGGAGCAGGGCGGGGCGCCGCCCAGAGCCTGGGGAACGCAGGAGCAGGCTGACCTGCCTGGAGTCATGGGCGTGAGGGGCGGGGCAGCACGGCCAGGCTCTGCCCACCTGTGTGCCAGCACCCACCCGGCTGGCCGCCTGGACGCCCCAACGCTGCACACCCACGCCAGGGCACACGAATACATGCACACACAGGGCAACACGCCTGCACGCTTGTACCAGCACACGTGTGTGCAGTACACCTGTGAGCAACACAAAGGTGTGTGCACGCGTGCAAGGCACACCCGTACACGAGTTTGCATGTGTTTCCACGCCCACGGTAGCCCTGAACACGCACATGTGCGGAGCCTCACACGCGCACCCACACCGTGCACCCATTCACCCACACACACCATGCACACACATGCACCCACACACACCCACACACGCACACACGTGGGGCCGTGGCCCCCCCTGCCCTCAGCCCCTGCACTGAGCCCCTGACTGGGGCACTCCCTCTGAGACTGGAACCCCTCTCTGGGCTTCTGCCCCGCACCAGCCCAGCTCCTGTGGGAAGCTTCCTGGAGGAAGGATGCCCTCAGGCTTTGGTGTGGCTCCACGAGCCTCCGCGGCTGCCCTGTGGGGGTTGTGAGGGAGGAGCAGAGGCGCCCCTGGGGTGGAGTCCTCCGGCACCCCCTCCTCACCCCTGCCACCCACAGCACGAGAAGTACACCAGCCAGCTGCAGGTGAGCGTCCAGGGCGTGGCGCCCACTCGGGGCGAAGCCCCCCCGGAGCATGCGCCCTACTGCGAGTCCTCGAACCCCAGGCCAGAGAGAGGGGACCGCCGGCCGGCAGCAGGTAGCGCAGGTGGGGGTGGCGGGGGGCTGCTGCCGAGAGAGAGCTGCTCACCAGGGAAGCGCCGCCCCGCGCAGCCAGCCCTGGGGGCGGGGCTCGAGAGACTGGTGGGGCCCTGGGGGCGGGGCAGAGCTCTGGGCGTGGTCACTGGCCACTGGCGCCTTAGGTGGGAGCTGTGCTGTGCCACTGTGGGGGCTGGGGGGGGCAGCGCGTGCTGGCCGGACTCCAAGCCACGCCGGGCGCAGTGACCAGGGCCACTCCTCTGGGCAGAGAGCACGGCGTACCGCACGCCCCTGTACGGGCAGCCTTCCTGGTGGGGTGAGGACGACGGCAGCACCCCGCCTGAGGGACAGCGCCCGGAGGACCCCTACCCAGGTGTGTGCTGGGGGCCTGCCCTGAGGTGCCGCTCTGGGGGAGGCAGTCCTGGGGAGGGGTCAGGTGAGGAGGTGCCGCCCTGCCCTGAGGCTTTCCCTCCCACAGAGCGCCCCAAGGAGATGGGCCAGCAGGATGGGGAGCTCACGGGGACCCTGGCCGGCTTCCGAACCCCCATGGAGCCTCAGGGCTGCCCCTTCAGGCGGGAGCCCAGCTATTTTGAGATCCCTACGAAGGAGTCCCCGCCCAAGCCCCGGGCCCCCGAGGCTCCTGCTGCACTTGAGGCTCCCACCAAGGATGAGCCCCCCAGCGCCGGCGGGGCGCCTGTGGTGCAGAGCCACGCCTCCTTCACCATTGAGTTTGACGAGGGCAGCCCCGGCAAGGTGAAGATCAAGGACCACGTCACCAAGTTCTCCCTGCGTCCGCGGCGGCCCCCGGGCCGGGAGGCCACGCCTGGCGAGGTGGTCTCTGCGGAGACCAAGGTGGCCGACTGGCTGGTGCAGAATGACCCGAGCCTGCTGTGCCGGGCCTGCCCGGGCGACGACCGGCACAGCACAAAGAGCGACCTGCCCACGCACAGCCGCACGCTGCGGGGTGAGTGCTGGGGTCTGCCCGCTTGGTCCCGGCCCGCGGCGTGGACGGCGCGTCCCCCACCCAGCCGCACTGGCTGCGCCGAAGTGCAGAGTGGGCCCTCGCGAGGCTGACGGGTGGGTCCCCTGCCTGCCGCAGGTCACAAGCACCAGGACGGCACGCAGAGCGACTCGGAGGACCCCCTGGCCAAGGCGGCCGCGGCGGCAGGGGCCCCTGCGGACGCCGGCGGAGAGCAGGTCCGGCTTCAGCGGCAGCTCAAGCGGGACCCCCAGGAGCTGCTGCACAACCAGCAGGCCTTCGTCATCGAGTTCTTTGATGAGGACACCCCGCGCAAGAAGCGCTCCCAGTCCTTCACGCACACGCCGCCCGGGGACTGCAAGGCCGACCGGCGGCGCGGCCCCGGGCCGGCCGACAGAGAGCGTCCAGGCGGCCCGGCCCCTGCCCGGGCAGTGGGCAACTCCGGGCCACAGCGGGCCAGCTCCCTCAAGCGCGAGAAGACCGAGGAGCGCCTGGGCAGTACCTCCCCAGCCCCCCGCTCTGCTGCCCGCCCCTTCGGCAGCGTGGGGCGCCGCTCGCGCCTGGCCCAGGACTTCGTGGCGCAGTGTCTGCGGGAGGGCTCCCCCGGGGCCCGGCCTGGCCCGGAAAAGGCGCCCCCCGCGCTGCCCGCCCCCGTGACACCCCGTGGGACCAGCCCTGCAGCCCCCTCAACCCCACCGCCACCCCCTGCGGACCTCCCACTCAGCAAGGCTCACCGACAGGAGGAGGATGACAGCCTCAGTGACGCGGGCACCTACACCATTGAGACGGACGCGCAGGACCCGGAGGTGGAGGAAGCCCGCCAGATGATCGACCAGGTGGGGGGCCCTGAGGACAGGCCTGTGCGGGGG